AAAAGTTGTTGAAGGAAATAAATTTAAAGTCGTAAAATTTTAATTTAACGCACGCCGCTTTGGTAATGACTGGGCTTATGTGAGGCTATTACCAAAAACTTAATGTACAGCAATTACTTTATCTATTTCCCTTTTACTGACCCTCTTTTTTTATTTATTTTTATTTTTCTTGCCCATTTAAGCACGTGCAACATTTCAAATGGTCGGCATATCTTTTAAAATATTTTCTTGTTGCTGTTTGTTGTTATTTTTTGACACAATTATTGTTCCGCTGGGGCTTACGAAAAGTAAGACTATACCACCTGGTGGCTGCTGCCGGTCATTATAAATTGAAGAGGGGGTTGGGGGGAGGGGATAGAGTGGTTATAGTCTTGCAATTGGTAATTTGATTTGTACACGAGGCTAGAGTGCATGGTGCACCGACACCGCATGCATAAAACTTCATGGCCCGTAATTATTGGCCAAGTTTTTGGGCTTTTGCGATTCGGCTTGGTTGGAAAATTATCAACATAGATTGCGAAATGACCCCAAGGGATTATTTTAATATTACATCTTATTTATTTAATTTTACCATTGTGTGTCTTAATTAAGATATTTTACTGGCTTCACCGAATTGAATGCATTCTGCCCAGAATTTTCAATAAGCTGCAGTCAGCCCCAAGAAAAATACATACATATGTATCTTGGCACGTGACTGCCTTGGAATACAAAATCAAAAAAAAAACTGACACCAAAAGAAATCCAGTAAAGTCTACAAGTAAAAGCCACAACTTTCTTTGGAGGAAGTTAAAAAAAAACACAGCAAGCAGGAGAAAAAGTTGTGCGTTTTATTCGATTTATGAACAACTGCAGCAAAAAGGGAAGTGTCCTCAGACAAGACCTGAACTGCATGGGAATTGCATTTTATATTTTGAAAGAGGTTTCTTAAGTTTCTCACCCTAAGTTTAAACAGAAACTAAACAAAGTTTTGTGGCTTAAGAAAAACTATATTTTGAATTTGTTACTAAATTCAAAGAGGGTGCAGTTTGGTTTGGAAAACCCACATTTTTTCAGATTTTGTTTATGTGAAACATATTTATAATAAATAGTGCAAGAGCTTCAATATATTGTTTGGCAAATTCAAGCCTTTTAGCCCAGTGTAGTACGTTTTCATCCAAAAGCACGTCCAACGAAACCAATTTCACAAAATCAAGTACTCCTCTGAGTCCGAATCTGAGTCCGGAACAGAAGCGCATAAATTATACCCCAGGCCGAGGAAAAAATAAAAAACTTTGTATATCCACTAATGACGATAGCAAAAATGAACCAGAAACACAAAAGCGAAAAAACAAACTTGCTGCATAAAAATGAAACTAAATAAAAGTAAAGAACCTAAATTGTCATGGAAGCCTGAGCAGCAGCGGGCCAAAATGCATAAAACTGGCAGAAATAAACCAGGTAGGCTGGGGAACTCTGAAAGAAAGGAACCGCATCAAAGAGTCGACCACAAAGCTTTGACTTTTCAGCTTTTTTGAAAATTGAAAAGAAATAAAACGAAGGGAATCTCAGCAGGCAAGAGTGGATATATGTATCTTTTGGGGCAGGTGTGTTTGAGGATGCCAAATTAGCAGCTACCGTCACTGTCCAGCGGCTCCTCCCTCTTTCCTCACTCCCTTACTTAACTTATTTTTTCTCTTCACTTTGCCATCATTTCCATTTAGGCCCTCAAGTGAAATTTTGAACATCATTAATTTTAATTTTTGCGCAGACGCACCCCAGGGGCGGCAGGCATCAGTGCCTCCATTCTGGCCACTGTCAGACAATCCAAAAGTGATGACTGATGACCTGGCGGAACGAGGCATCCACTTTGCCACAAAATGTAATTAAAGTGGCAGAAAAGGGTGCCAACGCGACAATTGAAAGTGTTGCAATTCCATGTAGGAAAGCTTCAAGAAGCTTAATGCTTGCAATGACTGATTGGTATGTCTGATGAAATCTTTTCAAAAATATTGAAATTTGAGGATCATTTATGAGTAATACTCTGTTAAACTTTATAAACAAGCTTGTTTTTGTTTCAATTGTAGGGCCGTGTGGCCTAATGGATAAGGCATCGGACTTCTGATCCGAGGATTGCAGGTTCAAGTCCTGTCACGGTCGAAAGAGTCATTTCTTTTTGATGAAGTTTTACCTACTTAAAGGCCACTTGGGCCTTAAATAAGGTATATATTATATTCAACTTGTTCAAAATATTTCCAAAAATCAAAAATAATATTTTTCAAAAATATTAGAAAAATATTGAAAAATTTCTGGTACAAAATTTAAGACAATCTCTTACCTTTTTGAAACGTCTTCGCTGCGACGAGGAGTGCGTAGATGCAGTTTCGTGCAGATTGCTGTTGTTATCCCCGCCAGTGCCCTCCCGCTTTCCCAGAGCCTGCAGCAAATCATCCACATTGCGAATATAGGGACGTTCGCGATCCCTTTCCCTTTCACCACCCCCTCCACCACTGCCACCAATGCAACTGGTCATGCTCTTGTTGCCCAGACTATTGCTACGGGATCGGGACCGAGATTTCTGCTTGCCCAGCCAGTAAACCTGGTTGGCCAAATTTATTTCAGCGGCTGCAGCGGCCTTTCGCCTTCCCATTTGGCGCTCCTGGTGCTCCTGCACCTGTTGCTGCTGCTGCTGCTGGTCGTTGGCCAAATACTCGCCGGCTATATGAACCTTTGGTGTGCTGACCAACTGCAGACCCGTGGCCCCAAATTGTTGGGGAAACTCGTGCAACTCGAGGGGATAGCGGGGATCCATCGGCTGACCGGGCTGGCGGGGATACATGTAACCGTCACGGAGGAACATCTTGCTGGTGGTGTAGACCCTATCGTTGATCTGGTAAAGGCCGCTGGAGCCAGGCCCCTCGCCACCGCCAATAATTCCATTTCGCACATAGGCCGTGGGACGGTAGCGAACCAGCGGATTGTACAAATTCGCTTTGGCCGGCTTGGTCTTGAAACTGCGACGTCGAGTGCTGGGCTTCATATTTTTCTATAAGGGTACTGTTGTTTCACACCCCGATGATAACCTTATTTCCGTTTTGGGTCTCTGAGCGAAAAGCAAACACAATCCACCCCTGTATATTCGCGTATGGCATGCGCACGTATCAAATGTTTTCCAGCTTAAGCCGGGTTACATCAAGTGACCGTGTGGCCTAATGGATAAGGCGTCGGACTTCGGATCCGAAGATTGCAGGTTCGAGTCCTGTCACGGTCGAAATTTGGATTTGATTTTTTTTCTTTTTTATTTTTTTTTTATTTTATTGTTTTTACTATTTTATATTTTACGCGAAGTGTGTATCTTTTCCTAATAATTTATTCCAAAATTAGATAGTACAAGCAATGAAAAATAATTTTACTTCGTATTTTACATTACTTCTACATGGCAAGTAAAGTGGCGCCACTACTACTTCGTTTGGTTTAGAAACTAAGAACTAACACAAACGTTTTGTTGCCTTAATACGTTGCCTAAATACTTTTTGGAATAATTCTTATATTGTTTAAGGGTTTTTTGGTTAAAGAAATCAATAAAATTTAAACACAAACTAATGTAAACCACATAATGTAAGCGCCTAAAAGTATGCCTTGTTTTTACATGCTTTCTCTGAGGAAGAAATTTAACATATAAAGCCTATAGGCAGGCAATACTTTTTATTTGATAGGCGCCTAACTAATGCCACACAATTGCTTCAATAAAAATATTAAAAACCTCACAAAACTTTTGAAAAAATGGCGTATTTTTCGATTTTAACGCGGTTAACACGTTCGGCACACTACACGTTCGATTTTTCACTGCAATTGTTTGATTTTATTGCAACAACCGTTCCGTTGTTTGCTGGAAGGCACGCACAGAAAATCCAATTAGCCAGGGTTCTCTACTCAGTTCACCTTTCGAGCTGTCTGTCGCTTTGTGCAAGGTAAAATGTTTTTCGAACCCAAAGTATTGACACAGTTTTCATGTCATTTGTTGTGTTAAACACATTCGTCTTCCTGAACCAGCCAACTGTCATATGAGATGGGCGAAACTATACGAATTCTATGCTAATCTGTCAACTCTGAGTTGGTTAATTAAAGCCTGATTTGCAAATAATGGTGGCTTAGCAATGCCCGACCAGGTCGAGTGTTTTGCGCCATTCGCCGCTGACCCCAATACCGATTCCAAAGCCAATTCTATTTGGCTAAAACATAGATATGGGGTCGACGATTGGGTCAATGAATGATTTCATTGACGCCCCTTTTTGTTTGAGTCTCTGTATTTCACAGTTTGGTTAGGACTTGCCAATCAAATATATTCAAGGTTAATACAGAAACTATAATAAAACACTGAAAACTCATATACTAAATCAAAGTTACATTTTTCTCTATAATTTATACTACTTTCCCCACTCTCTTATATCACTTTCCAACGAAAACACTCCAAAATTAATAGCTCTTCTCACTTTTAATCTCTAAACTTCCTATTAACTTCAACTTATCGCTTATAAAAGTATGTCTTTCTCACACTTCCGCCTACGAATATCGGTTAGTTTTCTTTTTTTCGAGGGATTTTGTGTTCGAAGCGCGACGAGCTACAGATACGAACTAAACTCATTGAATTTGAAGAACCTTTCAGCGGGCATGTGTTTCCAATGGTGACAATTTCCAGACCCAAAGAACGCCAGAACAAAAGCAATTGTGATAAAGCTGACTGAGTGTGGTCTGAGCTGAGCAGAGCCGGAGGGAAATGAATCGAAATGAGGAGCTTCGGGAATCGAGAAGGGCTTAAGCCAAACAAATACACCCCCTAAATGGGGAAATAATGGTGGGAGGGGTAGAAGAATATCATTGACAGGAAAGTTTTTCAAAAAAAATCTTATTTTCATTATTATTTGCTATTTAAAATATTAAACTTTAATGGTTTTTAAATAATAAACATTTTAGGCTAATAATCCCCCTATAGAAAACAATTTAGAATTTAAATAAATACTCACAAAGAATTCATCCTCGATAACCGGATCGGCCAGCATCTCAATGGCCTCCGTCATGGAGCGGCAGGTGCGGTTTGTGTTCTTCTTTTTCTTCAACTTGCGACCCAATGTGGCAGCATCACTGAAGCGGTGCAGAAGCTTGTCCCGCTTCCGAACTGCCAGCGGACTGGCCGTGGAACTGGAGTGACACAGTAGCGATCCATAGCCGTTGGTTGAGGAAATTGTCCCAGTGTTGGCATAGAAATTCTGTGGCTGATACTGCGCCGGTGCCGTCAAAGTGCTGTTCGAGTCGATTTTCTGGATGAGATTGTACTCCGACTGGGGATACTTGCTGGCCAAGCAAGAGGAGATCGAGTCCGTGGACTGCAGTGACGCCTTGGACGTCAGCTGGGGCTTGGGTGGCGGCGGGGGAGGTTCCTTCATCAGTGCCACCCGGCGAGGGGCGGCACGTGGTATGGTAGCTGATTGGGGTGATGAGGTAATATCACCTCCATAACTGACAGCCCGACGATTGCGATCGTTTTCCTTTTCCCTAAAAAAAGCAAAAAGAACTTTTTTTTAGAATCAAATATTTATTTATTTAAAGATAAGGTGAGAAAAGATATGCCAAGACGGCAACAGGGGTTTCCTTTAAAATATATGTTACTTTGCATATAATTTATAAAATATATATATAATTTGCGTCTCAAGAATGTTTTTATTGACTCGTATGTAGTTTTTACATATTTTTGTTAAAACACAAGAAAACTTTGACGAACTTAGTAACGAGAAAGGAATGCCCTTGCAGAGGTTTCAGACCTTTCAAAGCATAACATTAAATACAATGTCTAGACTCTAGAGGTAATCAATTTTTAAAGGCTGTTTGAGTTAGAAGAAGACCAAATTGTATATATTTCTTAATTAGTATAATTTTTAATGCTTAAAATCTTTTAAATATAATTTTTTATTGTTTTTCCCACCTATAACGTCTTCTTTGCATAGGCGGACTGAAAAAACAGTTGGGCGAAAGGGGCACAAAATAGCCCCATTGTGGCTCCCGATCCGGTCCCTCGTGATACATCCCCAACTGGGGTGTCATCTCCCTGGATCGGCTGGATCGTAGCATAGGCATAGAGACCCTCTGGGGCCCATAACTTCTACTGCTGCGATACCGATTTCTATACATATGTCGCTCCAACGAGGACGTTGTGGTCGTGGCATCCGATTCCAGGGTTCCATCTGAAAGGTGTCTATTTTCCAGGGTAACATTGCTGCCCAAATCATCCACACTGCGATCATCGTCGTCATCAGTGGAAGCCTCCGGCACGGTGTAACAGGTATTGTCGAATTGCGACATTTTACAATTTTATTCTCTTGTTTTTTATGGTTTTTCCTTTTACAGATTTAGTTAATTGTCATTGTCTTGGCGGCTCCCACGTAATTGTTTCAATTATTTAATTAGTCTACAACTTGTTGCTTGTTATTCTGTTACTGTTTTATTTTGTGTTCTTTGTTTTTTATTTTGTAAAACGGCATGTTCAGTACAACTGGAACCTAATTACAGTTGGTGCTAAGACTTTCATATTTCAGGGGCTTGAGAATATTAGTCTGTCTAAGGCATTTATCATGTTCACCCTCTGGACATTTCGTGTTTCCTGCCACCGCAAAACAGAGAATTAGATGTCCAGTGGGCACAATTAAAAGTCGTTTTCAGCCTCAGTTGAAAAGTCGCCCTAATGAGGTGTTGAACGGAAGAGGGTCATACTTGGTCTAGTTAAGATATTTTTAAAAGTCTCTTTTCACAGACAATTTTCTTGAGGAAAAACAAAGGGAATCAGAACGCTGAGAAAATTTAAATACCATTTTCCGGACTTAATAATGGGTTTGAATATAAGAATGAATAAAGATGAACGAAAGGAAAAATTATACATATAACATAAATTGAATAATCCTCTTAAAGTTAAAATATCATTAAGGAATTATGGTGCGAAAAATGAAAGTATTAACAATCAAATCCATCATCGTAGCAATTAAAATGTCACAAAAATAAACAAATAAGAGGAAACCGGCAGCCGGCGGGCTGCTCTTCAATGCAAACTTCCTTTATTTTCCACTCCTGAAAAATCCCCATTCCTTTCATGTTTTTTGTTATGGGGGGACCCCATTTTAATGATGATGATGCACAAAATACCCCTGAGGGGGAAAAGGGCCTTTTGGGACCCTCTGAAAAATTGCACTCAGCAGCAGGCCGGATATGAAAATTACAACTAATTTGAGATGATGTAGCTGCTGCTACAATTTATTTTTTGCAGGTTTTTACATTGTTTTATTTTCCTAATTGTTTTTAAATTTATTGTTGAAATGGGGGCAAGACATTCTGAACATTTTTAATTTAATTAATATCATTAAATGACTTATTTTTACACAAACACTTTGCCTTCCGATTGCATTTAAAACTGCAGAATTATTTTCAATCTTTTCTGTTTTAAACTCTTATTTAATTTTTTTCAAAACAACAATATTTCCTATTTTTTGTGAAAGTCTTCCTAGAATTCATTTCACAGCACCATCACATTGTTCACAATTCCCACAGACTTTCTCATCAATCATTCTATAAATACTTTGATTGGGTCAGCGAAATTCTCATTCTTGTCAGAGAAATATGCCAATTTTCTTGTAGTATTTATTTACAAATTTTTCATTAATAAACCTGGACACACACGCACACGTTGCCTTTTAAAAAGGCAGACAAAAAGTTCATAAACTGTATGACGTTTGGCTTTTTCAATAAGACTTTCGAGGCTGGCACCGCGCGGATGTTCAAAGTAAAATGTGCTGACCGGCAGCAATTTTTGAACTGATTTCGAAAAGAGGAACTGAAATTCCGTAGACACCGATGGGAGAACACCAAGAAGCACAACAACAACCCTCTCGGTTTGTCCACACTGAGAAAATTGGATGTCGGAGAAATGGGGAGAGACATTAAATGGAAGAGAGTGCGCCAAATAAGAACAAACATTGTGTTTGACTAAATTGCTTAATATTCGGGGACCGAAATAAAAGCATCAACGAAAAGTAGCAGACAATGGGAAAAAAACCAAATAGAAAGGTCGAAAACTAGAATACCCTAGGACCATAAGACCGTGAAAAGGGCAGAGCCTTAGAGAGCATGATGTGCCTAAGAATCTGAATGACTTTAAAGAAACAAGATCAAATAATTTAAAAACTATTACCTAGGTTCAAAATCAATTTTATTATTTAAATCTCGATTTTGTTATTATATTCGAAAATTTATTTTAAGATAGGGTATTAAAGTGCCAAGAAACAATCACATTAAAGGGCATTTCAACTGGATAACAAGGTGCAACACCCAAGTGTCGCATGTCGCGTGTGTGTGAAGTGTCATGCAAAATAAATGTTTGACTTTTAAAAATTAGTCTCTCTCTTTTTCCTTTATTTCATTTTAATCTGCAGCGCAGAGAGGCATTAAATTGCCGTGACTCTAAAAAAAAAGACTTGAATTGTTTTTGTTGTTATTGGTATTATTAAAAATAAACATGGGACAAGTGTGGTTGCTGCAACTGGGGTGCCAGCCGCCGCCACTTCACCAAGAAACGAAACATTTTCACTTGTCACGCATTTATTTTCCCATTTTCCATTCCGGAAAGTCAAAAAGAAAATGTGTGTCATGCCAGCGAAGAACAACGTCTGCGGTTTTTATTGACATCTGCCTGACTCTTTTGGGGCAATTGGTGCGATTAATAAAAGGGCATAGCGTCCCCCCCAAATTCCACCCAAAACCTTATCAATTACACTTGTTAATTAAGCTTGGGTGTGGATTAGCCCGCATTTCCAGTGGGCTGTGGGCAGGGTAGGTTCGTATTTTGATAACAATTGCATGTCTGCTGCTGCTGGTCGCACAATTGCAATTAAATCAGTTCTAAAACGGGCGTGCTAGCTATATGGTACTCCCGTCCCAAGTGCCCGCTAGCGTTGAATTAACAATGCAGGCAGCAAATGGAATGGAATCGATTGGTACAGAGTATATACATTTGTTCATATAAAACGAACATATTTCATACGTATGTATGTGCATGTGGGTTGAAAACGGCACAGAATTAATTAAAGCTCTGCAGGAGGGGCGACAGAGTTGGATCTTAAAGATAAGAGGGCGAGAGTTCGTGCTGTAAATAAATGCAGTTAAAAGAGCTCAATAAATCACAGATGAACATTTTTGGGATAAACCTGAGATAAATATTTTTGGGTAAATGGCGTAATAAACAGAACATTTTGGGGACAAAGCTTAAGTAAAGCAAAATATTAAAAACCAAAATTAAGAATGTAGGAAACTTTTAAGTTTTATTAACTACACCCTGTGAGAAGTGAGGACGAGGAAGTTTTCTATTGGAATAAATAATCGAATAAATCCCAAACAACTTTTTAAAGCTAAAGCATAGTATTGAGTTGACGAAAATCCGCTGTTGAAATTCTGATAGCGATTTTGCACTTTATTCGGCTGCCGAGGTAGTGTGACCAAAACAATGAAGAAATAAGGTAATACTGAACAGCTGTTGTTTGTAAACAAAAAACAAATAAGCAAAAATGAATTCAAAACGATTGGATGTTGGTGTTTTGTTTATGTATTTCGCCGCTAAGGAGCTGATTAAGAAATAGAAAACTGGGTCAAAATCAAAATCCAAATCAATCACAAATCATTTCAATGCCATTTTATGGCATTAAAATGCCCCTTCGGGACGGCCAAATAAATCTTCCCCAATTTCCTGGATGGAAGTAACTTAATGCAAAAAAAAAAAAAAAAATGCCCCTTGTGGGTCAAATCTCATATTATGGGCTTCGTCTTGACCGCAGAAATTCATTTTAATTTGTCCTGGCGCGTCGAAAATGTTTCGGGCCGACTATTTTTTTGTTTGGTCAATTGACCCTCCATGTCACACCTATAAAAATAAATTGAAATATTTATTTTAACACCCCGAGAGCAGCTGTTTATTTTTTTTGATCCGGCAACACCATTAAAATCGATAACAAAAATTTTCGTCAACTCAGTACCCGCAAAATCCAGAAGGCAAAAATTTCTTCTTCTTTCCTTTTTTACACCGTTTTTTTTATATGGAGTTTGACAGCTGTCACTCGTTGGACAGCGGATTTTCGTCAACTCAGTACTATGCTTAAATATTTATATTACATTCCTTGAAGTCTTTTAGTCATAATATTTAAATCATTTAACTGCGTTTACCTTTCCCAAGCTCGACTTGAATGTTAAATATGTATAATCGATTCGATTAGTGTCACTCGGGGGATTAATTGAATTAAACTTCAGGTCTTGGCTTCAGTCAATGCACTTGCAAGCTGTTGTAATTTGTAATTACAATGCACAAGATGTCAAATGGTGTTGACCTCTTAAAACCAATGGAGGGATAGGAAAAATGATTGGGAAAGACGGAAAATTAAAAAATAAGAGGCAACAAAGAGAAATGTTAAAAAAATCGTATACACTGGCATTATTAAACAAAACCAAAGTGACTCAGATAGCGC